ATGCATCAATCCCAGATGATCAAAATGTAGGGATCAAATTATTTGTTGATTCCGTCAAGAAATTCCTCCGTTTTGACAACTTTTTACACAGCTTTCTATTTCTGTATTAATGTCCCTTCCAAATTTGTGATCTGATAGCTTTGATGTACACCCTCGGTTTTTTGTGTCCGTCTCTATAATAGACAAATACTAATACTTACAAATAATTCTAATATAATTTGAAATTAAGTTCTCATGCCAGTTAAATATTTTTACAATATCTGTGATTTTTAACCCGAAACATGTTTATCCAAGTATATTTTCTTTGCATTCGCATCAAAAAACGAATGCGCCCATACTAGAGATCTGCATGGCTCCATTCAGAACATATTGAATCGAGTTTTTTGAGGCAACAAAATTTATTGCATTCGAATGAATTCGGAAATAGTCCTCCACTCAATTCATTCAATTCGTGCCCAGTCGTTTGTTGTATGCATGAGTTATACCCCTGCATTACGGGCCATCGATTACACATCTGGTTACACATCGATGGCGGCGTCACTACACCCGATGTCATAGGCGATGACCCTCCATACGCTGAACTGTTGACAGTAACATAGAGAGGTCCTAGGGCATAGCCGATGACACTATCATCTAGCAGTGTGGAAAAATCATGTATTTAATAAGCGATGATTTTTGCCGAAAAATCGTACATTTTATAAGCAATTATTTTTACCGAAAAAAATGCATTTTATGCATGATTTTAGACAAAAAAAATTCATTTTGTAAGCGAAAAATGCATCGAAAAAATCATGCTTTTTATAAGCGAAGATTTCGGCGAAAAAGTAATAGATCTATATGTAACGAATTACACGAAAAAGTAATACATTTATATTTTTTGTTTAAAAACAAATTTAACTTTGTTCTGGGTTAGCCTGTACATTTTAGCTCTACAAAATTTTTAAAATATGCTATTTGTAACGTTATAAATGGCCTTGCGTATGGCCTTTTTTTGTTGTATTCTTTGGACGTTGACATGCAATGACTGCATCTTTCAAGAGGCGATGCAGTTACTGCACCGTCAAGTGGCCCGTGTGAAACCAGCAGAAGGCTGTTACGCGCGAATCCCAGGCAAAACGCAGCCCTCCTCCCGCCCAACCGACCGAGGGGCGCTGCCGAATAACGCGCGGCGCGTAGCCAAGCCGAACGCAAGCTTGCAGGAAAGATAGCTGTTACACTAACATTCGAGAAAAATTAGCAATAAACTTACCAAGAATCTAAGCATGCAATCAAAATACAAATACCTCTACAATTACTAATTACTAGAAAGGTGTGTAAGGATTAATAATTTAATAAGAGGAAGAGAATTAGTGGTGGATATAATATGGTAGAGGGAATTATAATCCGAGCATAACACCCTAAACGGTTAATGCAAGGAATAATTCGATCTACAAAGTGGAAGGAACAACGGTATAAAATTTCTAGTCAGTCTAATAGGAATCGTGAAGTTTATGCGGCTCAACAGATCAGGGCGTCTTTGTCACCCCTGATCAAGTTGTGCATAAATATCAGACCAAGCATTTTTCTACGGTTAACTAAGGATGGGAGGTTTACTAATAGCAGTCTACTAGAGTAAGATGGGAGTCTCACACTTTCATCCCAGTTAAGGCCCCGAAGTGCAAAGAGTAAAAAGTTTTTCTGTACTGATTCTATACGGTCCTGGTGTACTTTGTACTGAGAGCACCATACACAGGAGCCGTATTCTAAGATCGGACGAACAAGCGAGGTATAGAGAGTCTACCTCTTTATAAACCCAAGCACGCCCATGGCCTTATTTACCATGGTAGAAATGTGTTCGGAAAACTTTAACTTGGGGTCTAACATAACACCCAGATCCAGGGTAATTCTATCAAGAGAACCACCAAATAGGGTATAGGGAGCCAACAAAGGGCTAGAACGATGAAATGTCATAACTTTGCATTCCGAGGCATTAAGGTGTAACAAGTTTGCACAACACCATGACTGAAAGTTATTGAGATCGGATTGCAAGCGAGAATGAAATGAAATGTCCTTGTACTGAACACAGAGTTTAACATCATCCGCATGTGAAGAGTAAGGGGCCTAGATGGCTGCCCTGTGGTACTCCCGAAGAAACCTTTACTGGTAAAGAGATGGAGTTTTTGAAGAGGACTCTTTGAGACCTGGAACAAAAATAGCTAGAAATCCATCTCAGGAGGTTGGGCGGAAACCCTAAAAGGTCAAGTTTATGCGCTAAAAGGGAATGGTTTACAGAGTCGAATGCTTTACTAAAGTCGATGTAAATTACATCCGTCTGTAAGTTACCTTGAAAGCCGCCTTATAAATCCCTGCTGAGCTGGAGATATAAGTGACTTGCTGAGATGTTGCAAGTGCGGAGTTAAAACCTTCTCAAATATTTTAGGAATAGCGGATAACTTTGCTATACCGCTATAATTTTTTGCATCAGACTTGCTACCTTTTTTCTGGAGAGGAATTATAAACGATTCCTTCCAGGTCGGGGGGGAAGCAAGAAAAATCAATGGACAGGCTGAATAGTTTAAGAATAGTTTTTTTTGGTATTTTGTTTAGTTTTTTGTTTAGACTTGCTTCCATATCCATCCAGGAGGTGCCTGGCCCCATTGTGTTCCGTATTTGGTTGATCTAATAATAAAAAAAAAAATTGTATGTATTTTATATAAAATACTATTAATTTTGCCGCAATTATAGAAAAAGAAAGATTGAAATTCTTTAAATCCGTTCGATTTGTAAAACAGTTGTTTCAAGAAAAATCAATGTTCACTGTAGATCATCGGTGGGCTCTGCATTACTGCAACAACAAAAACAAACAAAACGCGGCAAAATACCTGCTCGAATCAAACCTTGCATATAAGGGTTGCTTTTTGTTGGTTTTGTTTTCTTGCTGGACTGCTCACAAATTGAAATTTCGTGCTCACCGCAAATTATAACTATTTCATTTGCCTTTAGGGACTTACATTATATTTCTTTATTCTTCTTTTATTCCCGACTATCAATGTGAGTGCAGCGAAGCATTAGAATAATGTGAACACATTCAAAAATGTAGCATTTTACGCAATTGATATTTTCATTAAGTAACACGCGCACAACACATATTTTCATTTAAACGGCACTTACCTGATAATAATAGATAATATAACTATTTTCACTAAATCACTACAGTTTCGCTTCACACTCTTTTGTGCACAATTGTAAAAAATGCAATGCGAACAAATGCAACGCGAATAAAGCAAGAGAGTTCTGCCGACGCAGGCGCAAAAGAAGCGAAATGATAAAAAACATAGTTCTCTTCTACTGCTCACGATCGGCAGAACCGAACTCTGTACGGCACGTGCGGAAAAGAAAGAAGCAAAGAGAAAACAAATGTTTCGATTTGGCTGTCGCCTAGATGACATTGTAGATGATATTCGTCATCGCTCAGTGAACACAGTGCCGGAATTAAGTGTTGACACAGCAGAACCTTTTCAGGCTCCCTACTGTTTTAAGAGTTTTTCCATAGAGATTTTCAAAGGAATGGCTAATTTTTGCACTTAATTGCATTATTTTGTACAATAAATTCTAAGGGTTTGTATACCTAGAAAACAAAATTGAATTGAATAATCAGGCAGGCTATTTCATTTTCTCATGGATTCTGTAAAAAGAAATCAGAAAAATAAATAATTATTTATAAAGAAGCTACAAGCTAAATTACTGGTAATGCTATCAAATGTATGTTAGTGCATCAATAAGTCGTCTATTTTTTTCATTTTTCAATTAAGATTCGTTTTTTTTGTATGAGGAAAATGTTTTTTTGAAAACGGAGAAATCTTGCGGACTGTGAAAACGGTGAAAACGGTTGAAAACCAATTTATGAGATTTCAAAAGTAAATAGGAAAACTTTTGGTAGAAGTGGAAGCGAAAACCGGAGCCTGGCTGAATTTGTGATACAATTTGATAAACGACATGTGATATCTTATTGAAGATATTCAAGTAAAGACCAACATTTTTTTCGGATCAGCCATTCAAATCGATCTATGCACAGAACCCAATCCACACAAAAACAAACTGTTGCTGAAGCTAAAATGAAAGGATATGAACAGCCAGCAGTAAAAAGTAAAAATCTAATTGCGAGCAGCATATTAGAGCCCTAACACACTGTATACAAATAGCGGCATCCTGAATGCGAAAACCCTCCCATCATACAAGAAACCAGCCATGGCTAGATCCTGAAAGCTATCGAGCAAAACCAAGATCAACGATCGCATTGAAAATGGCACTGAGGAAGAAAAGCGCGAGAAGCAAGAGGTCAACACAACATTCAAGACAATGTGCAGAACAAAGAAAGAAGACAGAAAGGTCTTCTGGGAGTTTGTCAGAAGACTGAATGGCTCCAAAAGCATGCAGACCGGGAAAAAAGGAAGAAGTTAAAGCAGCAGTGAGCAAGAGCAAGAACTACCACAGGGTAGGCATAGAACCCACGCCAGCAGAGAAGTTTCAAATTTAATTTAATAATTCATTTACTTATTCACCCTTGTATTAATGTTAACTAAAAGTTGTTTTAAAAATAAATTAAATAAAAAACAAACTAATACTATAAATTGAGGTCCATTAATACTTACACTAGTATAGTTATAAGATCAGACCGTGTACAAAAACTTGTTTTTAAATATCTCGCAGATTTAAGAATCCCATTTCGATTTACATGTATTACATGCTTCCTTTTGTAAGTTACAAAAATAATTCTTCCTTCTGACCAATTACATTACTCAACACGACATTGATCCAAAAAGCCCCAAATCTATGAAAAAGTCGTTTTGGTTCACATCGTCGAAAAAAGTTCAATTTTGTTGAGTAGTGTCATATAATATCCTCTTCAAGAGTATACAAACATTTTTTAGTTGATGGCTTAAAAACTAAGAAATGGATGATCTGAAGCAGACAAAATAAAAATGGTTTTATAAATCTTCATATTTTATGTATGATTTCAGATCCAGCTATTGAAGTCCCAGACAAGGAAACTACAAATGTGAATTTCTGATTTAAAGAAACACTAAAACATAAACCGTCAACTGCAACAAAATGCTTCAATGCGGGAATTATTATCTGCTTTTATTTTGCTTTGTGTGGAAAAATGTTGTCACTTTAACCGATGATGCACATAAAGTATCTGTCGTTTCAAATCGCTACAATACGTACCAAAAATTCAAGCCGCAAACCAACTTAGCTCCACACCACTTATCTAATGAGGCTTCGCAAAACTCGTATATTCCCCACGAATCCCCTTTGTATACAGTTACTCTGGGAACTGAATCATCGGTGGTAACAACTACAAAATCTCCGCCTGTGGGATTACACGTATCTCATAATGCTGCATTGCATACTGGAAGTGGTAGTGGACATTCGACTCATATAGAGCAACATTTGCATAGAAGTTCATACAACCTGCTAAGTGAAGCCATGTCGCAGGCAGTCAGCAATGAATTCAGTAAGTTGGTAAAAATTAGTATACATCTGTACAAAAATAAGAGCATTTATTTCAACATTTTTTTAGAAATTAATTTTTTTCGGGCTTTCTTGCAATAAAACCCTGTTTTTGGTATGTTTTTAGCCAACGTATATCCGGGCTTTCCCTTGGTTAGCCCTCTCCTAGCGTGCCATTACCTTCATGTAGAGGGCCGCTGCATCTTGGCAGACGATGGCTATTACTCTGCCCTGATAAGCTCTGCTCCTGTCTTAGACGCCAATTAGGAACATTCCCTTCGCGACTTCGGCAAATCAGCTTGGCAGCCACCTCGGTAACCGATTTCACCTTGGGATTCCCAGACGTCGATTTTTGCGATCCCAACGATTTCTTAGAGGAATATTGTCTCCTTTGTGCTAGTGTTATTTGTACCCGGTACTCGAAGATTATAGAGGTATATTAGATTTGCGGGGAAAGTGGATGTGTGTAACGCCCAGAAGGAAGAGTTTCCGACCCCATAAAGTATATATGTATATTCTTGACCAGCATTATCTGTCCGTCTTGTTTGACGCTTAGTTCTCAGAGACTTTAAGAGCTTACGCAGGATAAGGATATCAGGCTGAATCAAGTTTATTTCCGCCCCCACAATGGGCGGAAAACTGGGGCGTCCACATAAAAATTGACCATATCTACCAGACTGCTGAATCTGAATCAGATCAGATCATTATTTAGTCAGAAGGAACAAATGAAATTTCAGTGGCTACGATAGCGCAGACACACACACACACACACACACACACACACTCTTCCTAACGCAGTATGCGCCCCCTAATGGAGGGGAGTGAGATGACAACAAACCAAATCGAGCTTTTTGCGAACAGCGATACCAAATGACATATAAAATATGTTGTATTTGTTACATAGATCATAAGCTCACATACATACACTGACTGAGTACCGGGTATATAGTATAGGCTCACAACGTTGCCACTCGTTTATGTATAAGATTTTTGCATTTTTAAATTCGAGGCATAACCCGCTGGCCCCGGGAAGCCTTCTTGAAAATGGAGGTCAGGCGGTTACCAGAGTACGTACCCAGCATGACCAAGGCAGAGACCGTACCAAGGCCTGTTTTCAGCCGCCTTTGCGAGGAGAGTATAGTCGCACTTTTACCAGTTACGGCGGGTGACAGACCAGTCACAATTAGCTCTATATTCTATATATTAGAGCCCAGAAGCACCGCGTCAGGAAAAACATATTATCCGCTACATCCTATTACAACCGATGGCTGACGGCCGCTAAGAATTACTTGCTTATTCCTTTGTGTTCTCACATGTCTAATGGAACTGAAGATCGTTCGTTCTCTTTCGTAGTGATCAGACGCGTTTTTGTTTTGCGCTCCGCATTTTTTCCTTTCGTTTTGAATAGACAGCCGGTGTTTTCCTAAATAAACTTGAATTAACTTCCTAACCAGCCAACAATCTGGAAACCTATTCTATTCCGCGAGTGCATGCCTTTTGATTTGTGTTAAAACATTATTTAACTTTTTATTTTTCGGCGTCGGCTTGTCGTGTTTGTGTTGTTGCAGTGAGTGAGTGCGCATTACATTGCATTGCAGTCCGCTCTCGTCTGGTAGCTTTTGTTGTGTTATCACTATCTCCCTATCACCTAAACTTAAATAACTGTTCTTTCCCTCTCGCTCTCGTAACTTTCTGTTCTGTAGCTCTCTCTCTCTCATTAGCTGCTGCTGCAACTGTTCTCCTCTCCTCCTATTAGCGTTTGTCTGGCACACTGGTTTGATAGCCATTTGTTTTGAAATATTATTTGATTGCGCTGGATTTTCTGTCCCTGTGAGTGATGCCATTTCAAAGCGTAATGGTTTGCACTACAGTTGCGAGGCATGCCGTGCGGTGGAAAAAGACATGGTAGCTTTTATGAGGCAGACCCGGAGTGGCTTTAAGGAGCAGACCGTTGGTTTTCAAAACCAATACGATCGGCTCCTAGCCATGGAGGCTCAGTTTAGCGGTTTAAAACTGCTGAATGAGTCTCCGAGGCGCAAAAAGGTCACTCCGCGGGATCTGCAAGTGCCAACCGTCACTCAGCCGTGCGCCGCCGAAAAACTGACTCCGACCACTCCAAGTGTGCAGCAGTTGATCTCGTTTGCCACTCCAAGGGCAACGACAGCTGCTGGCGATGCAGATTCGGTAGCCGAATTCATCGCCGCGGAGAATGTGCAGCCAAGTACGTCTGCAGCGTCCGTGTCCGTGGCGTCTGCAAGTTCGCTAGTTGTTCCGTCTATCCCGATCCCACCAGTAAATAGACGTTCCGGACCTCCGGATATTGCCACCACAGGTACTAGGCCTGTGGTGACTAAACCACTGGTGGGAGTCCCACCAAAACGACAAGATTTTGTTTCACGGCTGGCCCCTGACCTCACATCTAATGATGTAATTGCTTTTATTCAAAGCAAAATAAAAGCTGTGGGTTTAAAGGTGGAGAAATTTAACTTCTCTTATGCCAGGGAGATAGCCTCGTTTAAGATAAGCATCTCCCCAACTCAATTTGACACCATTTGCTCCGCCAAATTTTGGCCGCAGCATTTTGTGGTGAAGGAGTTTAAGGCTAAGAAGAAGAATAGGCCCCCCATATCCCTTCCAAATCTTTCCAGTGTGCCACCCTCAACCTCAACTTCCTCTTCCTCAACTTCCCGTCTTGCTTCAACCTTTCCAAAAAACTAACTTCTCTTTTAGTAACCTATCAGAATGTAAGAGGCTTGCGTAGTTGCTCAGCATTCTTTTCCGGGATAGTGTTGCATTTGCTTCCCACGTTATTGTGTTTACTGAAACCTGGGTAAAGCCGGACATTCTTAGTTCCGAGGTTTTGGCAGGTCGGTACACAACCTTTAGAAAGGACCGTTCGTCTCGACGTGCAGGGGGGGTTCTAATTGCAGTGGACTCTAACTTCACGTCGGAAAACTTCACAGTCACAGTCACACTTGTGCACTGTACAATGCTCTTGGCACATTTTTTGATTCTTGTGTCCCGCTTTCTTGTCCGACTAGATTTGGAACACCCCCTTGGTTTACCAAAGAGTTATCCAGTCTAAAAAACTTAAAATCAAGACTTTATACAAAATTTCAAGAAGTGGGTTCTCCTACTTCTCACTCTCGCTATGTAATAGCTCGGTCAAACTTTTCAGTTCTTAATGCTCAATGCTATCAGAACCACCTATCTCGATGCAGGATACGTTTTTGTCAGGACCCTAAACAGTTTTACTGCTTCGTAAACAGTAAGCGTAGAACGTCGGCACACCCATCCTCGCTATCATTTTGTAATACGTCGGCAAATAATGATCAGGCAATTGCCGATCTTTTTGCCCAATTTTTCCAAACCACCTATTCTGAGGAAAGCTACTATGGTCATCCGTACCCATACGGTTTAACGAGGTCGAACGGCATTTTCAGTCCCTTGTTAAATGAATGTTCTTTACTTCATTATCTTCGACTAGTTTCACCGGGTCCAGACGGGGCTCCACGTTGTGTATTCAGGTACAGCGCCGAGGCTCTGTGTGGACCCTTGCTTAAACTATTCACCCTTTCCATTGATTCATCGTGCTTCCTGCCGATGTGGAAGGAATGCAAGTCTGACGCAAAAATGTTAGACCCCAAGTTAAAGTTTTCCGAACACATTTTTACCATGGTAAATAAGGCCATGGGCGTGCTTGGGTTTATAAAGAGGTGGTCAAAAGAATTTGACGACCCATATATAACAAGGACTCTCTATACTTCGCTAGTTCGTCCGATTTTCGAATACCGCTCCTGTGTATGGTGCCCTCAGTACAAAGTACACCAGGACCGTATAGAATCAGTACAGAAAAACTTTTTACTCTTTGCTCTGCGGGGCCTTAACTGGGAGGCGGGTGTTAGACTTCCATCTTACTCTAGTAGACTACTATTAGTAAACCTCCCATCCTTAGTTAACCGTAGAAAAATGCTTGGTCTGATATTTATGCACAACTTGATCAGGGGTGACAAAGACAGCCCTGATCTGTTGAGCCGCATAAACTTCACGATTCCTATTAGGCTGAGTAGAAATTTTATACCGTTGTTCCTTCCACTTTGTAGATCGAATTATTCCTTGCATGAACCGTTTAGGGTGTTATGCTCGGATTATAATTCCCTCTACCATATTATATCCACCACTAATTCTCTTCCTCTTATTAAATTACTAATCCTTAAACACCTTTCTAGTAATTAGTAATTGTAGAGGTATTTGTATTTTGATTGCATGCTTAGATTCTTGGTAAGTTTATTGCTAATTTTTCTCGAATGTTAGTGTAACAGCTATCTTTCCTGCATGCTCGCGTTCGGCTTAGCTACGCGCCGCGCGTTATTCGGCAGCGCCCCTCGGTCGGTTGGGCGGGAGGAGGGCTGCGTTTTGCCTGGGATTCGCGCGTAACAGCCTTCTGCTGGTTTCACACGGGCCACTTGACGGTGCAGTAACTGCATCGCCTCTTGAAAGATGCAGTCATTGCATGTCAACGTCCAATCGTTTCCAGAAGGTTCCAGCTATTTTAGATGGCAAATTTCAGTTGGCTGAAAGTGTGGCGATTGTGCGCTATCTTTCAGACAAAGGTCACTTCAGCGAGCAGCTCTATAAATTTGTGGAGTGGCAGCATTTGAGCATTCGACTGGCCTGCGGACTCTTCTTTCGGAATGCGTGGCTATTTCCCGTAAACGGTATTGCCCCAATGCCAAAGACCGAGCAGATTCAAAAGATGACTAAGGAAGTGGAGGCCATTTTGGGTCTCTTGGAGCGTCTGTGGCTGGAGAAGGACTTTCTAATTGGGGATCAGATGACTGTGGCCGATCTGCTTCCGAAATAAATCAAATTAAGTTCTGTCAGTACAATGTAAGCGCGAAACAATTTCCCAAGGTAGTCAAGTGGCTGGAGAATCGTGTGTGAGAATCCTCCAATCCCTACTTCGCTGAGGCCCACAATTTTGTGTACCAAAAGAGCAAGCAG